TTCTCTATATGAATAATGATACCAATTACAATATTGTGGTTCCAAAGGCCGGGTTTGGGTTTAGGACTCTAGTTTATCCTTCAGTTGGTAGAAATTACCCCTCCTTAGCTACGTGGTGGAACCCACTAAAGCTGCAGGAATCCCGGGCAGTCTTGAACAACCCTTAACGCCAAGCCCCACACCCTAAACCCTAAACCATAGGGGTTAAACCCTAAACCCTAAACCCATGGACCGAACTCCAAGATACCAAAACCTTATATCCTGGTTTAGGGTTTAGGGTTTAGGGTTTAGGGTTTAGGGTTTAGGAGCTCGAAAGACCGAGTGCTGTAGCACAAGTTGGCATCGACCCTCGGCTTCTGAACATTCGGGCATGTTTCCCTGCCCTGCTGCAGCACCCTTTTGGTGCTTGTACCTTGTGCTTGATGCGCGCGAACATTCTTTCATGCACCTTCAGGTTCGGGTTCTTGGGTGTAAAACGTTGGAATATTCTGAACAGTTTCGTAATCAGATACGAATATGACAAAGGATATAAAGCAACGAAGAATAGGTCAGATCACTACCGCTGCTGCTATTGCCAATGGCGTTCATAACGCGAATAATACTGATATAACCACGAGAGTATGAATAACTTGGATACTCTGAGTATTCCAAACATTATGACGATTGTCATAACCCGTATTCACTACTACTAATGATATGTCTTTGATAATCTAGGGCTCAGGGTTTGAGGCTTCTAGAATTCGGGCTTAGTGTCGAGGGTCAGGGCTCAGATTATAAGTTGGGACGTTCCCCCTTTCTCTAACAGTCCTTTTCGTATGGGTTCTAGTAGGGGGGGTACTATAATCCCCATTAAGGACAGCCCCCTGGTTCTTAGTTGGGGAACGAGGGAGTAAGGGCCCCCTATGTACCCTTTAAGGGCTTGTATAGGGTACCTCATTCCCTGATTCCCAACTAAGAACCAGCCAGACTGCGATTGGTTTAGGTAGGGACTCGGGGGCCGGACCGGCTTCCCGCCACTCCTGAGAAGGGTTTAGGGTTTAGGTTTCAGGTTAGGGTTTAGGGCTTAGGGCTTAGGGCTTAGGGCTTAGGGCTTAGGGTTTAGGGTTTAGGGTTTAGGGTTTAGGGTTTAGGGTTTAGGGTTTAGGGTTTAGGGTTTAGGGTTTCGAAGGTGGGTTGCAACCTCGGGCTACAGGGTTGACCCTAAGCCCTAAACCCTGAACTTAACCCCCTAACCCTAACCCCTGAACCCTCTCGCTCTGCCCGAAAGGTCCACATCACGGCAAGGCGAAAACCTGAAGCCCAAGAACAGCTTGTCACGGCCTCAGCAAGGAATGTTCTGGGGTCATTCTGGGATCTGGGCTGAAGATCACACCCTCCCCCCCCCCCCCCCCCCCCCCCCCCCCCCAAACCTAAACCGAAACACGACTCAGGCGGAGAGAAAATCAAAGAGCACCAGCGTCGAACCATGTCGAACCCCACAAGCCCAAGCCATGAGCCGGAGTCCTGTGAGAACCAGCAGCGGATGAGCCCTGGCGCAAAGGGTGGGTGGGTGGGTGGGGGATATAGGGTGGGCAAGGGATTTGGAGGGGTTGAGGTTGAGGACTTTGAAACTTGGCGCTTGCGGCGAACCCTATAACATGAAGCCTATGAACGCTACACCCTGCAAACCCTAAACCCTAAACATCCTCAAACCCTAAACCCTAAACATCCCTAAACCCTAAACCCTAAACCCTAAATCCCAAACCCCAAACCCTCAACGCATGCGCTTCTCCACTCCCGTCCTGCGGAGCTAGGCTGCCTCAGAGAAGCGCCAACTGAAGGATTTGGGGTTTAGGGCTTAGGGGTTTAGTAGTTAGTAGGGTTTAGGGTTTAGGGTTTAGGGTTTAGGGTTTAGGGTTGAGGGTTGAGGGTTTAGGGTTTAGGGTTTAGGCAGGGGATCCGAAGTATGGGCCCCCAACTTGGGTCCCCTAACCCTTCTATACACTATGCAGAATAAGGGCCCATACTTCGGATCCCGGTAAATCCCCTTGAACAAGGGTAAGGGACCATACTCAGGGCCCATGGTTCCAACCTTAGATTAGGGCTTAAGGGGGTTTAGGAGTTTAGGGTTTAGGATTTGGGGTGTCGGGTTTAGGGCTTAAGGGGATTTTAGGAGTTTAGGGGTTAGGATTTGGTTTAGGGTTTAGGATTTAAGGGCTTCGTCATGGGATTCGGTCTACGCAAAGCCATAGTAGAAGGGCTTTTGGTACCTTACTCCAGACTCGGAAAAAAGTGGGACCCTCTTGGGTGTGTAGCCTAGTACAGATCCTACAGAACTCGGCGAACATACCCACCAGAAAACCAACGGAGCCTATTGCCATGAATTAGGGCCCCCTTGGTTATAGGGTTCTTAGAAAAGGGGGTTCAAGGGGGGTAGGCAAATCAAGGGTTCAAAAACTCCCTACTACCCCTAAAGCTCCCTACCCCCTCCCCCAAGAACCTTAACCCTAAACCCTAAACCCGAAACCTATATCTTGGGGCTACTTTTGCACAAGGAAGTTCTAACTGCAACCCACATAAAAGCGGCAGGAGACTCACAGGTACACTTATCCAGGGATGGCCAGCCGTAAACCCTAAACCCTAAACCCTAAACCCTAAACCCTAAACCCTAAACCCTAAACCCTAAACCCTAAACCCTAAACCCTAAACCCTAAACCCTAAACCCTAAACCCTAAACCCTAAACCCTCACCCCCCTCCCCCCCCCCCGCCCCAACAAAAGCAACTCTAGACCTAAAGGCCCTACATGGATTCCCGGCAGCTCAAAAAGCCTTCAACATGAGTACCGGAAGCTTTAAACTAGGGGGTTTTAGGGTTTTAGGGTTTAGGACCAACAATCACACATAAAGATAAGGATTCTACAAACAGGGTTTAGGGCTTAGGGTTGTCCAGAATCCCACTTATCGGGGGCCCTTCTACCCCAATAGTAGGATCCTTATGATTATGTGGTCTTTGGGCCCGTATAGAGCCCTAATGACACAGCACAGCCTCCTGGTAAACCAGCACCCTTGGCCCGTAACACGAAAGCTTGTCTGCGGGGATTAGAAGCAGGCGGGCTGTAGGGCCATGAAGTACTTTTAACTTTGGCCTGCTTGTCCATTGTGCTCCCCACCCCCCATTCCCCCCACGAGGGTTCGTCTGAAACCCTACTCATAACGCAAAATGGGATGCTTCAAGATGATGATGCCGTTTTGGGTACTTACCCGGAGGGGTCCCATTCATCACTAAGCCACAAGAGCAAGCAGGGGCCCTACATGGGGTGTTTGTCTGAACCGTACACAGAGGGTGACCCAAAACGGCCCCACATCTTCGAGAATCCCTAAGCCCTAAACCCTAAACCCTGGGCCGCCCGTCGCTGGAGTTGCTCTCGGAGGCGGTCGTTCTGCGAGTTCAGCGCCGCCTCCGCTGGGTTTGGAGGTTTAGGGTTTATAGGTTTAGGGTTTAGGGGTTTAGGGTTTAGGGTTTAGGGTGCTTTTTGGCTTTTTGGAAGGATTTGTGGGGTTTGGGGGGTAGTTTAGGGGTTTAGGGGCTCAAGGTGACAGGGGAGGTTTGATGGGTCGGAGTTTCAAGAAGCTTGGGGCTGGGGGAAATAGTACGTAGGAAGGTGTCCGGCTTCTGTCGACGCCTTGGACGAATGGGCAGACAGGGAGAGAGAGAACGACCGAGATAGTGACAGAGAGGGACAAGAGACAGTGAGACAGCGGCGGAGAGATAGAGAAGGGCACGGGTTGGGATGTTTCCCCTTTTTCTAACGAAGGGTGCCCCGCCGTGGGCGACCACAATCTGAATGTCAGGATCAGGGGTGGTTGACCCCCCCCCGCACCCGGCCCCCCCCGCCCCTGTCCCACACCCCCCCCCTCTGCCCCTTTGCGGGTTTGGCTTGAACCTTGAACCCCAAACCCAAAAACACGAAACCCCAAACCGTGAACCTTGAGCCCTAAACCCTCAACCCTTAACTAACCCTCAACCCTAAACCCCAAACCATAAACCATAAACCCGGAACCCTAAACCCTAAACCCAACCATTATTGCTTGGGGTCCAGCGACTTGGGCGCTACGGAATCACCATGCTCACGCGGATGCGCTGGGCCGGGCCGAGGCAGGTCGCGTAGCGATAATCCCTGCCAAGGAGCTGTGAGTAGAAGGGGGAACATCCCAGGGCGTTTAGGGTTTAGGGTTTAGGGTTTAGGGTTTAGGGTTTAGGGCTGATCAGAGTTGAAGCCCCAGCCTCGGCCGATCGTACATCTGCCTCGGTTCACCGTCGTTTGGGAGCTGGCTGATGGCACTCCCGGAGCCCTTTTGGATTTCGGGTTTCGGTTTTGGGGTTTAGGGTTTAGGGTTTGGGGTTTAGGGTTTAGGGTTTAGCACTTCAATGACACCATTTGCCCTAGAGGCCTCAATAAGATGGAAAAAATCAGTTGGTAATCATACTCATCATGAAACACTTAAACAAAGACTGACAATACCAATGGAGCGTTGAAAATGACTTTGATAGTACCAACATATTCATAAGCATTAATATTGCCAAGAATGTTACAGAACATTCAGAATACTGATAACCAGACTCTTACTAACCTTGAGAAAAATTAAACCCTAAACCCTGAACCCTAACCCCCCCCCCCCCTCCAAGCCCAAGGACAGGATGTGTTGTGCTGCCCAGCTTCTCAGGTTCCGTGGCTTTAGGGCCTAGGGTTTAGACATGGTTTTGAGCCTGAGCCTTATGTACAAGCGGCCCGGGCCACCTCGGCCCACGGAAGTGCGGTTTAGGGTTTAGGGTTTAGGGTTTAGGGTTTAGGGTTTTGCAGCGGAGGCTGCACTGGTGCGCTTGGGCTCGACGGGTTTCAAACCCCTCAAGAGGTTGCTAAGAGCTCCACGCTCTGGTTTTCACACGTGCTCCGCGCACGATCCGTGGCTCAGGCTGTTGCCTAAAGGCTTCTGCACGAAACAGGGGCCCCTGCTCGAACCTAGAAGTTCAGCAGTAACCCCACATGTTCCCATGAGACATCACTGAGAGGCATATCTGTTGCACCAGCCCCAAAAGATGTCAGTGATGACTCATTCTTTCTGTACAAATGCTGATTTACGGTGTCTACGGCTGTACGTCCTTGCTGCTTGGCTTTCTTGGCACTGGTGAAGGCGGGGTCGTACTTGATGCACCAGTGGCCTGATCGAAGGAACTTGATCAATCCCAGGCGGCAGTCAGCTCTCTTCTTGGTCAAGGCATCACCAAGATCGTAGTCACTGGCAACCCATCGAAGAACTCCAGCTGCTCGAGCCAAGTTTCCACGAAGCTGGAACGCCTGCAAGGCCGATCTCATGTTGCTCAGCCCTAACAGGGGTGACTCATTCAGCTCCACGGCGTCGTATCCACCCTTGCTGTCGGTGCACACTATGCCTTTGACACATAGTACCTGACGTTCCGTGGCATCCACCGGATCCTTGCGCTGAAGCTGCTCATAGTCCAGGTCGCCAGCTGCATGAAGTTCACTCCACAACAATCTTGCTCGGAAGTTGTTGTCTTCTGCTTCAAGTGCTGCTTGAACTTCTGCATCGTTGCTGCTGATGGATTTCCGCTTCAATTTCCATGTCCGCCAGGCAATGGCATTCATGGCGCAAACAACACCGGTGTCACATTCTGGTCCTGACACCAGTGTGATGTATCCCCCAGTGGAATCGCCCTTGGGCCTGTTGTTGTGTGCCTGGTCGCCCATGCTGACGAAGACAAGGTCTGTCCAATGTTTGACAGATGGAAATCGTTGAAATGTTAGGCGAAAAGGTTCTCGACGTACTTCGCCAATCATCTCCTGAATTTCCCTTGCCGTAGACATCGAACCATTGACTACCAGCTCGGTGAGTAGGAGGTTGCAGCGTGCACACAGCTGCGGTTGAGACTGAACAGCCAGCCACTGCAAAGCGCCCAAACTGGCACGACAGGCTTCCATGTCCTTTCGCTCCAAGGGTGCCTCAGTTCGAAGTCTGTTTGGGCTGATGTCCAAGTCGGGCAATGCCTCCACATAGTAGTCCTGGTTCACGCTGATACGCAGGAAGCCATTCTCGTCGGTGGTCGTGGAGACATCGGTACCAGCATGACGATACGTGCCTTGCTTGGTCATTCCCCACTTGCATGCCTTGTCGATTGAGGCCTTGATCGCTAACCATTCTTCAGATCCATCTCCAATGCGGTGAAAATCATCCACATGTCCACCCATTGCTCCAATGGTCAGCTTGTGATCGCGATCCTTTCGGTCCTTCGAGGTCCATCGCCATAGGCATCTTTCTCCCATCACTGGGGTGGCACCCAGTTTGGTGAGTGTCTTGTGGAGATCCAACCATAGTCCTCGTGGTGCCGTCGTGCTGCCATAGATGTTCCGAAGGACACGCATGATGGCCTCTTCTCCAATGCCTAGGGCTTCTCTGAGCTCCTGAACACCCGAGGTCCACAGCTCCTGATCGGCCTCTGTCGGCTGCGTTTGTAGAAAAGCCGTCGCCAAATCCAGTCCTTCCAGCATCCACTGATGTTGGGCCGACATGGTGTAGAGGAGGTTCCTGCCCAACGTCGATTGCACCGGACTTGCTGTCTTGAAGTTGGGATCCAGCAGGCTCGGGTGCTGGAACCCTAGCAGCACAATCCTGGCCTTGGCTTTCTTCATGCCATCCTTCTTGTGCACGGTGTTGTCGTTGGTGTTGGCGTCCTGAATTGCCTCCTCACGATCCTCTGGCGGAACCAACTTCCACGTCAATACCCATCTCGCCTTCACGATGCGGTTCGTCTCGTAGGCCTGTCGAACTTCACGATCATCAAGGCACTTCCGGACAGCTTCATGCTTCACAAAGGAGTCCACCTCCTTCGCCTTTGCTCGGCCAAAGAGCTTCCGCTCGGCTGGATTCAGCTTGGTGAGCACCACTTCCGAGTCGCGCATCTTCTTCACCATATAGGCTTGCGGATTGCGCTCAAGTTGTTTACGCTCTCTGTTCGACTTGGGTGCTTCCAGGTTGAACTCAATCTTCAGGAAGTCATGGGTCTCGTCCATGGCATTGAAGAGGTCGAACTCTGCTTCCCTTGCCGCTTCCGTGCACAAGGCCTCCACCCAGTTGTCTTCCTTCCTTGACCTCTTTGCCGCAGTGTCATCGTAGTCGTTGACCTCGACAACGGCCGGATTTTTGGTCGTAGAGGAGACATTGGCCTTGGTTGTAGACGATGAACTCGTTCCCTGTTCTTCCTCCTGATCGATGGTGGTAGGCGACTTCTTGCCTACAATTCGTCGACTGGGCTTCACCACAGTGGTGTCGTCAGGTTGTGCTGGTAGTTCAGGAAGTTCACGGTCGGTCTCGAGAGGCTCCTCATCCATCAGGTCCGTGTATTCTCGTTGAGGGACAATGTCCGCTAGGGACTTCCATCGAGCGAAGTCTTCTCGATCTGATGTCTCGTAGACGAACTTTTCCGCCTCCGTTGCCGGCCGAACAGAATGCACGGAGCAGCGGTAAAGACGTGAGCCAATCAAGACCCACACGATGTGACGCCGATGATCACCTTGATCTTGCTGTGGCAGAACTTCATGGAAGACCACTCGTCCAGGGCCAATCCAATGTGGTCGTCCGGATACTTTGAAGCCACCTTTGGGTCCTTGATGAACGTCTAGCGGCCACACTTTTCTCCAAATCTTCACAAGGTCCATCTCCTTGAACGTCCGCAGGGGTTGTCGCACGGTGCTGTTGGTAAGCTTGGAGAGGATGCGCTGGGACCTGGTCTTCAGTGCTATTGCCTCAGCTTTTTGCCGATTGGTCACCAACTTTGTGTACTCCTCTTGTCCGTCATGGGGGATGGAGTTGAATGTGCGCACGTCCTCATCGGTGATGTCGTAATTCTTTCCAAAGGCCCATTGGAAGGCAGAGTAACCAGCCGTGTACTCGGTGGAGTTCAAGGAGGCAACCGTAAGCTGCAAAGAGACAAAGGGGTGCTGGTCCAGGGCATCCAGGTGGATAGCCGTTGCTGTTCGTTTTACATCCTGGACGGCTGCTTCAGCGGTTCCATGGGCCCAGCTCTCCTTGTCTGCAACGAAGTGTGGTTGTATATTGACGGAGGCCAAGAAGTCATGCATCCGCTCTGACGCGAAACTGTAGGCGGCATCGAGGATGATGAAGGCTGGCTTGGGGTATTGTCCCAACCGTCTTTCTGAGAAGGCCTGAATGACTTCCTCAGTGGATTCGCTCTGCATCGCCATCACCTCATAGATCATCAAGGGCTGAATCACCCGCAGCTTCGTCGCCATGTCCATGAAGAGGATGAACTTCGCCTTCTTTTTGGTCCCCGGAATATACCATTCACCCACATCGGCCGTCACCGCCTGCCACGCTTTGTAGGCCGGTGTCACACTGGCTGGGGGAATCTTTCCGGAGCTGACGCTCCCTGCCTTCAGAGCATCACATGCGTCACATCGATGATGTAGTGCAACCTGTACCTTCCACTCATCATGTCCACCGTCGCGAACGATGCGAGCCAAGTTCTTGTTGGTCGGATGACCCGCGGCACGATGAATCTTGCTGATCTTTGCTCGCCACGCTTCCACTTCATCTTTTGAGACATCCGGAGGGATCCCAAGGGGGTCCTGCACCTTGTTATCCTTGACTTCAGCACCAAGGACTACATGGTCATCCGTCATCTTCGGCAATGGGAATCCATACTGTCGAAGTTCCTCCCTCCTTGCGTCCGACATCTTGTGGATCATCCGAGTGGTGTAAGCGGAGATGCCAATCCTCTCGCCCTTCCATTGTTGGGTGGCGTGTGTCGTAGTGGGATCGAAGATGACCACTCGGTGACACGTTTCTTTCACCACTCCACCAGGTAGACTGCCGTCAGGAAGTCGTCGACGAACTCGTGTTTCGCCACCTTGAGGTTCTTGTTGTATCCACAGTCCACCACCTGAGAAGTTCCCCACGCACAGGAGGATGTTGGAGCTCCCTTTCAAGTTGTGGTGGTCCTTGTGGGGCCTGGTTTGGACGTTGAAGTTGAGCATCACTGTGGTCCAAGTCTCTTGGGGCGCGTAGTGATGCAGGACGGCGTTGACATATTGTATCAACTCAGGAACCTCAGAGGTGATCTTGGTGATGCCCTCTTGAGCACCATGAGAGTAACCACCAAGAATGAGGCTTGTGGCCCCTGACATGGTGCCCCGACCATGTTCCCGGACAGCTTGCCGTACTTTGACACACTTGGGCACTTCCCGAAGAATGGTTCCGAGATGTTCCAGGGACCAGTTGCCACGCATCCGGGCTTCCCTTGCCATGTGCTCGAGGGCGATCTTGTCTGCGCTTGTAGTGGCAACTTCGTAGTCCTCAATGACCATGTCCGACGTTTCTTTCAACTCGTCGAGAAACTCTTCTGTCTCTTCGACTTCGATCTCTTCGTCATGAAGTGCGGGAAGATCATGCTTCAAGGATAGCAGGTGTTGATGACGTCCGGGCGCAAATTGATCACGCCAGTGTCGAGCAATGGATTGCACCATCTTCCAGGGGTAGTACGCAGTGCGAGCCGTCTCTGCCCCTTGAATGGACGCATGTTGTCCATGATTGCCCGGACATACTTTCGCTCGGAAGGCACGATGGAAAACTTCATCGTTGGTGCGGATCAGCCACTTCTTCTGGATGAACTGGTCACTAGCCTCGTTCTTCATCCCGTAGTTACATCCATCAATGCGGCACTGCAACCATGAATGTCCATGCTCCTCCAGGTACCTCGCTAGGTCTTCCATAGGAGCTTGTTTCCATCCAAAGCATGGATATGGCCATTCGAAGTAGAACTTGGTGCAGTCGTTGTCCTCGAGGCAGTCCTTGATGAAGTTGTTGACTTCCCAAAGCAAACGGCGTTCCTTGCGTCGAGCCGTTTCAAGTTGCGCTTGTCGTTCGGGGGTGTTGTAGTTCACAGACGTCCATGAGCACCACTTTGTGCACGGCAGCGAAAACCAAACGCGTTGGGGTTGATGTTGCCGCCTCAGAACTCGAAGTCGTTGCCAGGTCTCCTCCTTGTACAAGTCGTAGCCGCTGGCCAAGTTGATGCGCCGTGGTCGTAGTCCATGTTGTTCTGCTGCTTCACTCAGCCAGCTGTGTGGTGCACATGCTACTTCCCACAGCCCATCGCGTCCTGTCAGCTGCAGGTCCACAAGGTGCGCCGTCATGGTGGCAGTCATCATGGTCACCATGGCCATCAACCGCTTCCCCATGTAGAGTGGCAGGTGTTCCACCTTCGGCTTGTAGATCACACCTCCCCGGTTGCTTCGTTCTCGTACGCTGCCACCAGTTCCTCGTCGTCCGGGTCCGTGACTACTCCCCATGTGGTGTTGGTCGGAGAGTGGTAGCCGTCGGTCGTCGCGATGTAGGTGTCCGGCACAGCCTGGTTGCGCAGCTCCACGATGGACCGATTCAGGACAGCCTCGGCCGTGATCTTGTTCATCATGTGGTGGCACACCGTCGCTGTCGGCTTGATGGTCCCCAAGATCTGCTGCAACTCGTTGAGCATCTGCTTCACCATCACGTGGTTCACAGTCATGGTTGTGCTCGAAGGTGACCCCTTTCTGGGGGTGTACAGAAGACGAAGGTCGCAGCAACTGCAGTGGATCCATTGACCCCACTGATTGGCCTGCGGTGGTCCCGGCTGATGCGTTCCGAAGCAGGGCCATTGATCCTTCCGGGAGCGAGGATCCCGTTGGTCTGCTTTGATCCTTCGCGTTGTGTCCAGTGACCTCGGTCTCTGCTTGGCGCGACTCTTCGCTTTGGCCGCCGCCGTGAGGATCTGCTCGGTCTCGCGGTCGATCTCCTGGGGAGCGCTCGAAGGGGCTGCCATCACAAGGAGAGGAACTCGGAGGGGATGTTGACGAAAAAACTTGTGCTCCTGTCGCACAGTTCATTTGAGCTTCGGCGTTGGAAACTGTTGATGGTCGAGATCGACGATACATCACCCACAGCCGATTGCGAGACGCCTCTAGCTCTCGATTGTGCAGCTCAGCATCACTCACAGTCAGATCAATCCATGCTGTCCCAAGTTCAAGAACTTGCTGTGACATGTGAGGACAATCACTAGAAGTTGCTTCTCGAACTATCACATGGGCTTGACCATCAAGGCAACGTAGACCCTTAGTTAGGTACTGCACAATGTCCAAGGTGTAGTGGCCCTTGCGGTTGACGTTCAACTGGAAGATTTCAGGTTCTGGATCCTTGGAGAGCATGTACAGGCCAGTAGAAAAGTCGACCAACATTCCAACTCCCAACGGACCCAGGAAATCCATTCCTATCAAGATGGGCACTAAGGAATTCTTGTCAAAGCCTGACTGATAGTACTCCGCAGGATTGGGAAGTGTGTAGAGGGAAAAGGAACGTTCGCTTCCCGATAGGCTGCTCCGAATCGTGACCTTGCACAAGGCTCTACCCCACTTGCCGTTCCCAAACCTGAAATACGGGCGCGAGGATTGGTCCAGCTCAATCTTGGCACTACGGTCCTGGGCAACAATGGCTGATAGCAAGGACTGTACAGCGGCTTCGGGGGCTGCGGAGGCTGTCGCTCCACAGTCAAGCATGCCGACCTCTGGCTTGGGCGGCTCCGACGCTGAAACGGAGTGAAGCTCCTTTGAATCTCTCAGTTCCATGCCACCGACGAAGAAGTCCTGCGCCATGTACGCATTCACCGATCGATTGCCATCCTTGGACTTGGTCTTGAACTTCCCCTTGCCCTTGTTCGACATGAACTGACCTTCCATCCACATGCCTCGCTTCCCCTTGTTTTTGCCCTTGCCCTTGCCAATGTAGTACTGGTACTCGTCGTCCATGCCCGCATGTCGACGATCAGGGCATTCTCGAGCGAGATGCTGGCCGCCACAGTTGTAGCAGCGAAGGCCATGGCCCGTGGAATTTGAGGGAGACCCAAACCCACGGTCACGTCTCAAGGCCTGTGTCACCTTCTGGGCGTCAGACCACGTTCTCTGCGCCTCCATCGCCAGGCTTTCGGCAACCTTTTCGGCCTGTTGGGCTTCACGAAGCTTCTCCTGGTGTTCGGGGTCAGGAGACTCTTCAAGGGCCTGCATACCATCATGATTGCCAGTTTGCCAATCTTGATCAGACCACCAATCATTCTCCACGTAGGCGTCGTCGTACCACCAGTCGTCTTCATACCACCACTCATCCATGGCATTCTGGTAGTGCATGTGGTCCTCGTCCTTGTGATCGATGAAGTTGGCGTGAAACTGGCCACCGGCATGAGGCGACCCTCGATGGCCAAGAAGCTGTTCATCCCACAAAGTCTGGAGCGCTGCCGCAATCACCTCGTACTCCAAGGAGTTCTTGCTTGTGCTGAGGATGTCACGCTTCTCCTCGGCACTGAGTCCTGCAGCTTGCAACAACCGCCATCCTCGGAGGACACCAAGCAGGAATGAGTCTGCGATACTCAGCTCATCAAGAGGGCCTGGTGCTGCGGCAACCACTTCCTGAGCTTCTGGCTCCACGCTGCGACGACTGGGGGATGACCCAGCCGAGGCCCGAGTGCCAGCATCGGCATTGGCTGGCGTGGCACCGCCATCTGGTCGAGTGGCAGGTCCTTCACCTTCAGGACTACCTTCGCCCACATCTCCTTCTTCACGACCATGCTCATCAGGCTGCTCGTCATCCTCATACCAGCTGCTCTCATCATACCACCAGCTATCGCGCCTCTCTGCCGGAGGAAGGCCGAAGTCCCGCTGGTCCTGGGCAATGCCGTGCTGCTCCTCGTAAAGTCGGTGGATGGCCTCCACAAACTCCTCATGCACCAAAGTCTCTCTCACCAGGAAGTTGCCTATGCTTTCGCCCGCACTGCGCTTGAAGCTGAAGTACTGCTGACAGATCGCCGCTGCATTCGGAAGTGATTTTCTGACAAGGGGGCTTCTGGCAAGCCGTTGCAGAAAAACGCGGGTCCCGTCCTCCTGGTCAAACATCGTCATCGGCCATGACATTGCCAGGAGTCGAGCGGGGCCGGTGAGCTTCGAGATCAAGGTCGCAGCGACATGTCTCCTTTTGTGCGGTGCGGTGCTCTGCACGTACCAGGCAACTTCTCGTGTGTATCTGCGCCAACCACGAGCAGCACCATCCCAAGCTGGAATTGTAGATCTACCGTAATCCTCGGGCATGGCCAAATGCCACGCAACGAAAACTGAAGAAATGAAAAAGGAGAAAACCACCAGCGTCCTTGACCTGGTGGGCGGACACGAGCGGGTAGAAGTCGCCGTGGTGAAAGTAGCCCAGTGTCCTGGTAATCGGAGATGTCAAGCAAGAGCAAATGCCCAGGCCAAACAGGCTTTGCCTCAAGGTCCAGGTCTTCTGCTCCGCTACCAATGCAGCGGAGGCTGCACTGGTGCGCTTGGGCTCGACGGGTTTCAAACCCCTCAAGAGGTTGCTAAGAGCTCCACGCTCTGGTTTTCACACGTGCTCCGCGCACGATCCGTGGCTCAGGCTGTTGCCTAAAGGCTTCTGCACGAAACAGGGGCCCCTGCTCGAACCTAGAAGTTCAGCAGTAACCCCACATGTTCCCATGAGACATCACTGAGAGGCATATCTGTTGCAGGTTTAGGGTTTAGGGTCTAGGGTCTAGGGTTTAGGGTTTAGGGCGCTGCAAGCTGGAGCTGGGATCAGGGCGTTAGGACTATGTAGGGTGGGGGGATGCTGGCACTTACACTCCCCAGGCCCTGAAGCCCGCAAATTGCATCTACACTCCCAAACTCTTCTTGAAACCCCCGCAACTGAACCCTGAACCCTGAACCCTGAGCCCTAAACCCTAAACCCTAAACCCTAAACCTTAAACCCTAAACCCTAAACCCTAAACCCTAAGAGCAGGCCGGAGAAGCGAAGCCTAGGGCCCTGAAACGATAGCCGCCCCACACCCCTCGGCTGTCTGAAAACCTCTCCGAATCATGAATCATGAGCCCTAAACCCTAAACCCTAAACCCTAAACCCTAAACCCTAAACCCTAAACCCCCCAGATACCCCCCCAGATCTTAATCCCTGTTCCCCTAGGAAGAAAAAAGGATCCTTTTTTGTTCATATATAAGAAAGCCCATAACCCAAAAAAAGTAAATAGGATCCCTAACACTGATCTAGAGATAAGCATCCAAGAAGCTAAGCTGGCGCTGCCTCAAGCATGAGGCTGGTTTTTGACTTGAGGTTTCGGCAGAACAGCCAAAGCTGCCAACAGGGTTGGGCTGTGCTCGTCATCACAAAAGGCGCAAACCCCTGAAGCCCTCAGCACTGCACTTTGGCATCCACACCCTCGAAGCCCCCTGCAATCTGAGCTCCGTCTTTGGGGGAACGTGAGGCTCGACTTGACCAGGCCCCGAATCAAAAGAACAGTAGTTTTGGAGTCAGTTTTGGAGTTCATTCATGTAGGGAAAGGACTTGCTGAGCTGAGCGCCTAGGCATAACGAAAGAAAGCGCGAGCGCGAGGAGATGCCGTGGCCAAGCGCGCGAGACGGGGAGGTGGGGGGAAAGGAGAGAGAGAGAGAGAGAGAGAGAGAGACAGATAGAGCGAGAGAGAGAGAGAGAGGGAGTGTGAGAGAGAGAGGCAGACAGAAATGGACGAAAGACCCGTGAACCTCCAAGTAGGCACAACAGGACGAACGCGGAGGCATAACCTAAGACCATTAACCTGTCAATAATTTGGGATAAACAACCTATAAGGCTCCAGGGGGTCGCGCCTGCCACGTTGGCGGTGGCCTTCACGCGGCAGAGGGTTTAGAGCTTTCGCGTTTAGTGCACGGGGCTTGGCAGCGTAGAGACTTAAACTTCGCGCCTAAGGGAAGCTCTTTGGGAAGTCATTGCTTGGGGGTACAAACCCAGCAAGCCCGAAACCCTAAACCCTGAACCCTTCGCGGCCTTTATGGTCATTTAAAGATATGGCACGAAGGCCTTCAACGACCAGGCTGTGCTGGAGTTTGTGAGGATGTTGGGTCCAGGCCTTCTGTATCACCGAAGGTCCCATGCACCCATGCACTATATACTTGGGCCAGTTACTTGGGCCTTGAAGGGGTTCCCATATCGTAGCTTTAAGGCCCAAATATCTGCCAAAAAAAGGTGCATGGACTCTAAAGGAAGGGTATGGGACGGTGTGAGCAAGAGCAAGTTTACGGGCAGATTCAGCTCAGTAATGTCGGTTGCGAGAGGTTTGTGGGTAGTTCCCTAAACTTGGGTCACTTTTGGGGATCCTTGTTAATAAGGTGCCGTGCAATATAGGCGACCCAAAACAAGAACCTAACTTAGAGAACTACTCTTATCTGAGCTGGAGGTCCGAGATTTGGCTTTCATAATAAAACAATTTGAAGCTTGTTGGCGCGTGGTCCACAGTGTTCCTTTTCCGACAGAAAGGTGCATACCGGATCACAGCGACGAAGACTTGTCCAGCCAAGAACGCACTGCAGATCCCTAACATGAATTCTTTGCGTGTATTTACCAGAGAAAATACACTAACGTCCTCAGGATTCAGGGATTACGGGTTGTAGTCTTCTCCTTATTATGACCTTTTGTTGGGAGGAGGCGGCAGGCTAAACTTGCGGTCCCCTCCCAGATGCCTCACGACGCAGAGATGTAGCAGCGCGGTGCATCTGCACCGACTCCTCGCGTGGCTGGACATCGCATCCCAGCACCAAATACCTGAACCCTGAAAAAAATGATTTGGGCTTAACATTTTACGACAAGGATCTATAAGGGTTTACTTTGGTTTAATTTCGGGATAACTTCGGGCCAAGATCAAAGACCTACATTGCTTGACGTGCGCCTGAGTGTCTCAAGGGCTGCTCGGCGCTGAAAACTTGCACTCGTGCATATGACGTCACAACTATCGAGGTCCCGGAGCCTTCAAAAACCCCTAAGCCCAATTCCTCCTTAGAACAAAGATAGCTGCATACCTGGACCCAGGAGTAACCTGGGAAAAAAAAGGGTGCTCTTTTCGGTTTGAAAGGGGCTCATAAGGGAACACAACCCTAAAACAAGGGAATGAGGGCCTTCTCTGGGCCTATAGACCCTGATTAAACCAGATACCTTCGGAGGGGCTCTGGCTTAGGGATTCGCACTCCAGAGCATGGCTTAAGAACGTGGACTTTGCCATAAAGGGTTTACGTTGCACAGGGAGCTTGAGCTACATGCCGGTGGGTTTAGGTTTAGGGTTTAGGGTTCAGGGTTCAGGGTTTAGGGTTTAGGGTTTAGGGTTTAGGGTTTAGGGTTTAGGGTTTAGGGGTTCCCTGTCCTCTTTCAGCTTGACAAGATGCGCCTGCCCACGGGACAAACAAGGCGGTTCAGACAAGATCTGCAAAAACAATTGGGTTCAGGGTTTAGGGTTCAGGGTTTAGGGTTTAGGGTTTAGCTAGCATTGACTTACCTTTTGGGGGGTTTACGAAAATAGGGTACCCGAATTTCGGAAACCATCATGTTATAGGTCTCGTGCGGCTTGCTGCGTAGCACCGGGCCGGGGGAGGGGGGGACCATTGCACATGAAGGTCCCTTGTAAGGGTCTCGAAATCTTGTTAAACTTGCTTCTCCAATAACCCAGGGAAGAAAGGTTAAACTTTGTTATTCATAGTGACTAGTAAGGAAACCCAAAAAAGTTTACAGTTCAAGTATTGGCTAAGTAGGAACAGAGGCTTCGATTCTGTAAACGGTCTTTCCAACAACGCCCCATATGCTCGGCTTTGTATGGCAGGCGGCAACCCTAAACCGCAAGAACCCTACTTGGAGGTGCATGGGTAGTTACAAGTGGGGGTTATAAGTAGGGTAGCTACAGTGTTAACTGGCCATACCCTTATTTACGGCCTAACTACTCATGAGCCTTCCAATAATCCCCAAACCCTAAACCCCGAAAGCCTAAACGCCAAGCCCTAAAACCAACACCCTTAGCCGAGCGAGGATTGGCATCTGAACTTTCAACCTGAGCCTTATAGGGCCCAAAGCCTGCAAACCCTGAATTTTGAGCCCTAAACCCCAAAATGAAACTCAACCCCACAGAACCAACCCTACACCCTAAACACACCCGGTATCTGAGTGTGGGCCTGTGCCTGCATTAGTTTTGCCTCGCAACACAGCTACAGCACTTATGGCCCTACTTCAAAGTACTCATTCGACCTGAAGCAGGGTTTTTGTCGAGTTTTTTGAACTGGGCTTCTTCGGCGTTGGCTCTACTGAAGACCCGAAACCCCAAATTTATACCCCAAATCCGAAACCCTAAACCCCAAACCCTAAACCCTAAGCCCTAAACCCAAATCCTAAACCCCAACTTCTAACGCGCCCTGTGAGGTGAGGAAGCCAGATACTTGGGCTCCGAGATGGGCAAGTCGCATTCAAAAAAGCCCCAAGTCGCAAAACCCTGCGCCTTCCCTAAGGATCAGCCCCAAAGAAGACGGACCTTCAGCCCCGATATGGGCAGAACCCTAAACGCTAAGCCCTAAACCCTAAACCCTAAACCCTAAACCCTAAACCCTAAATCCTAAACCAAACCCTAAATTAAATTGGCTCCCCTTTCGGGTCCCTAAGCCCACAGGGGCCTCCAGTCTCTGAAGCGAGTCCACGGCGGAGTTGGTTTCGCCTATCGCCTGGCCACCAACACTTGCAGGCAAGTTGGGGCGGTTTAGGGTTTAGGGTTTAGGGTGGTTCATGGGTAGTCATAAGTAGGGCTTGTAGTTAAAAGCAGGGATACAAGTTCCAAGTGCCCGAAGTAAGGTTAGACATAGGTAGAGTTACCCCACTTATAAACCCCAGGCTTTGGAGGTTTAAGGGTGTAGAGGGCTTAGGATTGGGGACTTTTTAGGGTTGGGGTAGCACTTGGCGAAGCAAGGGAGCCCAGCACCCCTTGATCTTGTCCCGTCATCCGCATACTTGGAGGTTCATGGGTAGTTGTAAGTAGGGTTATAAGTAGGCTAACTATACTTATAACCTTACTTAGGGTACTTATAACCCTACTTATAACTGCCCATGAACCTTCAAGTAGAACAATCCAGGAGAGAACTTGTAGGAGTATTCCCTAACAAAAGGATGATGGGCTGATGATGGGGTCTCTTGACGGCCGCAATCCGATCTCTTGACGGCCACGCCTCATATCCAGCAGCCTCATGTGGCAAGAGCAAGGCCACGAACGCCACGTAAAAGTACCTGCAGGAGAGGTACACAAGTCTAACATCTTGGGAGGTTCCCCACTATACAAACAGCTCCCTACTAATTAGGAATTATCATAAGGGGTACTATAATCCCGATTAGGGAGCTGTTAGGATAAGGGGAAACATCCCAACTAACAACTTTGAAGCATAGCATCATGAGCTCCAGAAACAGCGTGTATCTCCGGAAATGTGTACAAACGGGGATATTTTCTTATTTCAACAAACAGACAAAACACGGACTCTCTTCCAAGTGATTTCGCCAGTGGCATTCTCAACCGATACAACCGCTCGATCAAGATGCAGTTCCCTACAGGAACGGACACTGAACCCATGTTTCCTTTAGAGCCCTAAACCCTAAACCCTAAACCCTAAACCCTAAACCCTAAACCCTAAACCCTAAACCCTAAACCCTAAACCCTAAACCCTAAACCCTAAACCCTAAACAAGCTACTTCTTGTTTCTCAAAACTGCTGCCCGACACCTGCCTGGTACGATCCCGGAAGGCCCCAGGGGGCATGTGACGCGGGGAGGGTGTGCACGCCATCTTCGAGCCGCTTGGCCAAGAGAGTTGGGGTTTAGGGTTTAGGGTTTAGGGTTTAGGGTTTAGGGTTTAGGGTTTAGGGTTTAGGGTTTAGGGTTTAGGGACAGTCGAAAAACAACCCTGAGGCAGGAATGGGATTTAGGGGTTTTGGGCTCGTGGCTTTGGTGTCTGTCCCTCAGTTCAAGGAACAAACCATAGGTGTGAGCCGCTTGGCCAGAGATCCCAGAATCGAATAACATGTATAAATACACATGAATAAATACATGAAGGAATAACATGAAATAATACCTCAATATGAAAACAACTCAATAATCTGATTCTTTATATGTCTATATCGATGTGTGTGTGCGCGTTGGTTTGTTTGGTTGCTTGTCCGTTTGTGTGTGTGGCTTTGGGATTTGAGGGGGGGGGACAATATCAGGCTTTCCTTTCTTTCAGGACGTAAAAGTGTGTACGACGTGTGTGCCCTCGGATCTGTCAAGAGAGTCTGCAGAAAGGTAAGTGATCAACCCCCCAAAAGGTTTCATCAAGGTTTCCCCTACTGGGCCCTACTGTTCAACAGTTTTCAACCTAAGCCCTGAATACACTTGGCCGTCGTTCCGATCCCCACCTTTCACTGTTACTTGGAGGGGGGACAGTTTTCAACCTGCTATGCACAAGTCGGATACCGTTGTTCCATCTTCATGGCATCCCGCCGATTAGATCACCTTGCCACATTGCTATTTGTGAGCCCGGAAAGCCGACTGATGGACCCGTTAGGCGTTCGCCTGGCACACAATGCAGGATTGGCATTGCAGTACCCGGGGGCGAAATTGCAGTATGCAGTAGATGTCGCATTGGTACTTCATCTGTCGGAGAGGTGAGTATGAGAGTTATACGAGACGAGCCCCCCTTCAGATAAAAGCTTACATAGGGGGTGATTTCTTAGGGTGCAACAAACTCGCGCCCATCTTTCTCTGAAAGCGGTCGGGGCAGTTGCCACTTTGTCGGCTACAGGCCTCAGCGCTCGGACTCTCGAGGGTTCAGCAGGGAATACAGGGGCCGTATGAATTAGAATAGGGCTTTGGGGGGGATCATCATAGTATAACCTTCTTGGGACCAGGACCATAAGAGAAGGCGATATGTAAAGTATTCCGACCCTACATTCAGCATGATTCTGGCTAAGTAGACCATGCAGCTATGCGGCTGACAAGCTTGAGGGAATACTGCCGGATGCTTGTAGGTCTTGGTAGACCAGTAACCATATTATGATAAGGGCACCCTTTTTTGGGTTGGATTTTTTGTAAGGGAACCCAGGACCCCAAAAAAATGGTACAGGGTACCACTAGGCTACCAAGCAGGGAATGCTGCCGGATGCCTGTAGGCAGGGTTTGGGTGTAAATAGTAGGGCGCCAAGAGTCGACAGGGCTGGGTTGGTTCGCGTGGGAAAGGTCCCTCAACCTGAAACCTAAACCCTAAACCCTAAACCCCAAGTCCTCGAATCCGAGGCTCACCCTGCAGACAAACCTCTTGAAAACACAAAGACATCTATTCTACTGCGTGATGCTCAAGCACTGAGCATTCATGCTCTGTGTGGTGAGGATGCTGAGTTCCATACTTGCTCTTCCTGCATAGACGACCGTCCGCGAATTCGACTTTTTGGATTGTCCTGGCCAGGCATAGTCCTGAACCCTAACCTGAAACCTAAAATACTCTATTTTTGTCAAAAGACCGCCCGCGCAAAAACCCTGTACAACCTAACCCCCAAGCGTCTGCTGCTGTCCGAGTCGTTTAGGGGCAGTTGGTCACTTGAGCAGACTCTTCGCCCCGTCCAAACCCCAAACCCCGCACCCGAAACCCTAAACCCTAAACCCTAATCCCGAGCCCTTGCTGTGGCGTGGACTCTAAGCCCTGAGCACCGCGTGCCTCCTAGCCCCTTGAAAGACAGACACCCTGCATACCCTCCAAACTGGAACCATGAACAAAGTGGGCATTTCCCAACACATGCTTACCCTGCACCTTGCAGCTGGGTTACGGTCCTACTTGGAGGTTCATGTTACTTATTAACCAATTGTAACTGCACTTACAACCCACTTATAAGCCCCTTAAGTGCCCTGATATGGTTATAAGTACAGTTATAATTGGCTAATAAGTACCAGGAACCTCCGAGTAAGCCCTAAAACCTTCCCGGATCGTGCCTTGATCCACATGCTGGGCCATCTGCCAGGGGATTCGCGAATTGAGACTCTGTTTTTTTGTTGGTATGCATGTTCAACATGTAACTATTATTCGCTTCGCAACACGATTATTGCAATCCTTGTTATCGTATGCATTATTGATATTTTTTTTTTTGGGGGGGGGGGGGGGGGGGTGGGGGGGTGGTGGGGTTGAGAAGGCTAGGATGCTTTGAGGCATGTGGCGTTCGGCTTTGGGGGTTTTGGGAGCTTAAGGGCCTGGGAGCGCCCCGAACCCTTTCGGGCTCATTCCCGCTTATGGTATCAGGGCCCAAGTGTGCTCTTTTTTGAGGCTTTGGGGGTTGAGGGATCATAGGTTTTCGGCTTTAGGGGTTCGAGGATTTGAGGGTGGAGGGCGCTTCTTTCCTTAGTCGCTTTGAACCTTCTGCAACCCTAAACCCTAAACCCTAAATTTGCGGTTGGAAGGGGCTTCCAGAGGTTAGGGTCATTGATGGCGTGTGGTGGCTGGCTGGAGTTTGGGGTGAGGTCCTCACCGCCTTTATAAACTCGAAGTATACAAAGCACCGAAACATACTCTCTCTCTCTCTCTCCCTTTGTCTGTCATCCTCTTTGATATGTCCTCCGGGTGCATTTTGGCTTTCTTCCCGTTGTTACGGCTTGCACGCGCACACAGAGACAGACACACACAGAGACACGGAGACACAGAGAAAAGACACGAAGACAACCCACACACTCCCTGCAAACGAATTCCCTCACCACAAGACCTCCTCTCAAGACTCCAAGCGGCCCGGCCCTAAGCCCAAACCCCGACCCCTCAAAGGGTGCCAAGAACCCCTCAACTGTCAACTTTAAAACATACAGTAGCCCCTGAAACCCTAAAAAACCCAAAAACCCAAAACCTTTGGACCCTGAGCCCAATAAAACCCTAAACCCTAAACCCTAAACCCTAAACCCTAAATACCTAAACCCTGAAACCTTTGCACCCCAAGCCCGAGCCCCTTTTTGGCCCCTGAGGGCGCCTCCGCCAGCTGCGGGCAGTTGGGCTCACACGGATGCTGATGATAGCCCTGGCCTCAGATTTCCAACCGTCACACATATATTCATATATGTATACATACATGTTTATACATGTATATATATATACACACACACATATATAGTCATGTATCATACAGGTGTATGTACAGACATGTTTATACATGCATAAAGAGATATATATATATATATATATACATACATATGTACATATACAAACAAGTTTACACGCACGTACATATACATGTGTGCAAGTCAAACGTGATGTGCGTGTGTGCGTACGCGCGCGCGCGCGCGTGCGTGCGTGCGTGCGTGCGTGCGTGGGTGGGTGGGTGGGCGGGTGGGTGGGTGGGTGTGTGTGTGTGTGTGTGGGGTCGGGGCAAGCTAGCACGGCTAGCGCATTTTACATATGTTACACCTGCATGGTAATGCATGGGATTGAACGCGAAGCTGAGGCAACAGGCTTACCGGCGCACCAAAGCAGAGGCTAGCCATGTTCTGCTGCTCCAGATCCTGGCAGAATTGGGAGTTCGCGGAGTTGAGAGGGTTTTCGCGGTTTGGGATTTCGACGTGGATTCATGTTTCGAACATGGATTCATGTTTCGAACATGGGCTGCTTTTGCAGGAGGAGCTGTGTCTTAGCCCGGGTGGCGTCTAGTTAGAGGGCTTGCGGTGAGTTCGAAGCTCAGGTCGAGGGCCATCCCGACGCCTGCTTCCTCACAACAACGAAGCTCTTTGTGGGTTTAGGGTTTAGGGTTTAGGGTTTACGGTTTAGGGTTTAGGGTTTAGGGTTTAGTTTAGGGTTTAGGGCACCTATGTGAGTCTTTGTTCTATCCTTGATCTTTGTCGGTGGTGCACAGAGTTGCTCAACCTAGCGGAATCTGACCATGCCTACTAACGAATAACCCTCTAAGCTCATCATCCCAGGGCTTTGTGGCTTTGGGGGGTGTACAGGGCTTCTAGGCATAGGGTGCAGGGTTTAGGGTTTAGGGTTTAGGGTTTAGGGTTTAGGGTTTGGGGGATGTGTACATTACCCCACTCTTGGTAGCCCGGCAACCATATGATAATGAGGGTGCCCTTGGTGGGGCTGGTTACTTTATTAGGGAGCCTAGGACCAAAAAAAGGGGCCAAAGGGCACCGCTGGGCTACCAAGAAACCTGAACCCAAAGCTCAGAAACACTTATACTAGACTATAATATACTGTAGTAGTATAGTATACTATAGAAGATTATATTCTAGTACTTATTTTAGTACATTATAATATAAAATGGTATTGTATGAGCCCTTGCTTTGACGAAGTTCCCTCAGGCCTTCCATGCATCATCGGTCCAGGAACCGTCCTGTCCACAAGGGGCGACAGCCCACAGCGTAACATGGGGGCCTTTAATGGTTAGAACAGGGCTTCGGGGGGGTTCTTTGCCTAGGACCTAGTAGCTAGTTAGCAGGTGACTAGAACCCTTAAGGACTCAACTATTAGGTCCCTGGAAGTATAGGGTACATAGGGACCATAAGGGGTTACTGTTCGGAATTCTTCCGACCTATGTTAGGCCCTAACGCGTCGGTCTCGTGCCTATGGACCTTAGGAGCCTACCCCAAACCCTAGACCCCACACGCTCCCCAAACTCTGCAGCCTTAAATGGTGGTTCCCGAAAAGAAAGGACCCTAACGATAGACCCCCTGGTCGCAGGCTTGGTACCCCTAATTTCGAAAACCCCCAACTCCTAAAACCCAATACCCCAAACCCTTTACAACCCGAACACTCCCCAAACCCTGCAACCACAAATCCGAACCTAAACCCATTCTAGATTCTAGACCCAAGAGTAACCTAGGAATAAAAGGGCGCCCTTTTCGGTCCAACAAGGGAACCCAGACCCTAAAAAAAGGGAATAAGGGCCTACTCTGGGTCCTAGCCTAAGCTTGCAAGAGCCCTGAAAAAGATTTAAAGGCCCCTTTCGCAACCAGATCGTCGGGGAGACGGGCCCGGGGTCGGTACCGGTGCAACCAGCACTTTAGCCCTAAACCCTAAGCCATATAAAGCCAAAAGCCTAAACCCCTTTGAGGCTTGCGATTTCAAGGTTTCGGGTTTCAAGGTTTCTGACGCTTCGGGGGCCTTCAGGGGTTTGTGGTATTGGGGGTTCAAGGGCTTTGGGTTTCGAGATTTCGGGTTTAGGGTTACGGGTTTTGGGTTAAGGGCTTCCGGATTTGGGGTTTAGGGTTTGCTGGCGCTTAGGATTTCAAGCATTTGGTGATTGAGCTTTAGTCCTTTGGTTTGCATGGCTTATGGTTTCAATGTGTTGGGCTCTTAAGGTTTAATAAGAAGTGTCATTTGCGTTTTCGCTCTCCGGGGTACTTCTCAAGGGTTTAATGCGTAGGGTGTCGCTTGGTTTTGGAAGCGGCGCCTGTAAGTGGCCGTGTGTTTAAGCACATTTTAGCTGGGGGAGAGCGGGGGGTGGTGGGAGGGGTGGTGGGAGGGGTG